TAAAGCTGTCTAGTCAGGATTCAGACAGTATTGCACTTCATTTATTGTCTTGGTTGATTCTGTTGGCTTATATTTTATTTGATCAATAAGGTATTTATATTGTTTTTCCCTTTTGAAACAGATGTTCAGTTATGCTAAAGTCTTTGATTGCACTTCAAGTCTAAAGTTTACATTTTAATTGTTTGGCACTGACTTTTCCTCATTGATGTTTTATGTTTTACTTAGTTATGTTTTACTCTCCTTTTCATGTTTATTGATGTTACATCACTGCTAGTGCTACCTAAAACAGAAAGTGCATTTTTATACTGAGAAACTGTGCCTTGAATATGTTACTTTATTTAGCAAGAGAGTGCACTTTACTTGGTGAAGAAACCAGTGTTAACGTTTGTTGTAGGGTGTAGGCCTACCTACTTGAACACTGAGGAAGCCATATCAACATTCCTGTTGAATTGTTCATTCAGGGATTCATTGCAGAATTAAAACCAGCTTGAAATTGTATTTTGGTCTGTTACCACTTTTTATTTTAGTTGTTACCTTGTAGGTGGTTGTACTGTTAAAACCTGTTAAGCCCCAAAGCCCCCGTCGGCGGGTCTTTTTTTTATTTTATTTTAATTTTTTATTTTAATTTTTTTTTTTTTTATTTGGATGGAATGAATACCTATGGTGATAATTCAATGTAATACATCATTTTTATAGTCTGGTACCTGAAAAAGGTCAAATGGCACTGATGGAACCAGATGTACCCAAATGTGCCGCAAGCTTATTCCGCCTGGAACTTTCTTTTGCTAAACCTCTCTAAAAAGGTCAAATTTCACTTGTTTTGCCTCAATCTTGATACAGGGTACTTATTATATGTTATAGTTTGGATTCCTAAAGCTTTTAGTCTACCATCCCATCATTCAAGGGTGGTTTTCACTATAAGTAATGTTTTTTCTTTAGGCGGAGGTAAGAATTTACCTTTTTTTACTATGTTCCATCTGAATTTACTCTGACTGAGACAAATCTATATTGATTCTGACACTTCTACATCCAACTCACAGATGTAACCTTGCTTTGATAAAAGAAATTATTCATATAACCCTTTTAGAAGTGAAGTTGTAGTCATTTGTTTTGGGCATGTCATTTTCGAGCCTGAAACCTGAAAAACAGGCTCGGGGCTTAACAGGTTAAGTAACTTGAAAAATAACCATAATAACCGACATGAAAAAATATCGTGATAAATATCGTCTATCGTGATACTGCTTGAAAAATATCGTGATATTATATTTTTTAATATCACCCACCCCTAGTTCAGGTCAGACTCTGATGCTGGACAAGAGGCTCTAGTTCATCCCAAAGGAGTTCAGTGGGTTCAGGTCAGACCCTGATGCTGGACGAGAGGCTCTAGTTCATCCCAAAGGAGTTCAGTGGGTTCAGGTCAGACTCTGATGCTGGACGAGAGGCTCTAGTTCATCCCAAAGGAGTTCAGTGGGTTGAGGTCAGACCCTGATGCTGGACGAGAGGCTCTAGTTCATCCCAAAGGAGTTCAGTGGGTTGAGGTCAGACCCTGATGCTGGACGAGAGGCTCTAGTTCATCCCAAAGGAGTTCAGTGGGTTGAGGTCAGACCCTGATGCTGGACGAGATGCTCTAGTTCATCCCAAAGGAGTTCAGTGGGTTGAGGTCAGACCCTGATGCTGGACGAGAGGCTCTAGTTCATCCCAAAGGAGTTCAGTGGGTTGAGGTCAGACCCTGATGCTGGACGAGAGGCTCTAGTTCATCCCAAAGGAGTTCAGTGGGTTGAGGTCTGGTTCTTCCTCCAGACTCCCCTACCAGGCCTTCATGGACCTGCTTTGTGAGACTCTGCTGGAACAGAAAGGTTATTCTTCCCCAAACTGTCTCCACTAAGATGGAAGCAGAGAATTGTCCAAAATGACTTGGTAAGATGAAGCATTAAGAATCACTTCTCTGGACCTAAGGGGCCGAGGCCATTAAGAATATATATATATATATATATATACACATGTTTATGTATAAAAGACATGGAAAAGTGGATTTTGCATAATAGGTTTCCTTTAATAGCATGTGTTAGCTACGTGCTAACACTCGTCATTAAGAGATAACCCCTGAAAGTCTCTCAAAGTTAAGAACTCCATGACTCAGAATTCGTCCTCGCTGACATCCAGCTCCTTGTCGTCCCTCCGGTTCTCCGTCAAGTTCTCCGTCAGGAACTCTTCCTGCTGGTCCTCCAGGTCCTGCAGCTCCGCCTGGAGACGCTGCAGATGGAGAACCCTCCGGTTCCTCAGCAGCCGGCCGGGGAACGGGTTCATGTCGCTGAACGCTATGCTGGTCAGCCGCCTGCACACAGGACGCAGCAAACAGGAAGTCGTTTATAAACAGGAAGCAGTACACAGGAAGTAGTTGATAAACAGGAAGTATTTGATACACAGGAAGTAGTTGATAAACAGGAAGTCTCTCTACCTGCCGTCGGTGATGGTCTTGGTGAAGAAGCGCAGGTACTGGTGGATCTCCACGCCGTCCTGGATCTTCAGGATGTCGTCCTCTTTGTATTTGAACAGAGCCAGAGCGTACCTGAACACCACCTGCAGATATATTGTATATTAAAATATAAATTTAAAAATACCATCAGGAAACTGTGCACTGCTCCAACCACCGAACAGATCCTTGTAGCCGCCCCCCCCATCTGAGTGATTATGGTGTAGCGTGGTCACTTCTATCTGGGTGATTATGGTGTAGCGTGTTCACCTGTCTGAGTGATTATGGTGTAGCGTGTTCCCCTATCTGAGTGATTATGGTGTAGCGTGGTCACCTATCTGAGTGATTATGGTGTAGCGTGGTCACTTCTATCTGAGTGATTATGGTGTAGCGTGTTCCCCTATCTGAGTGATTATGGTGTAGCGTGGTCACCTATCCGAGTGATTATGGTGTAGCGTGGTCACTTCTATCTGAGTGCTTATGGTGTAGCGTGTTCCCCTATCTGAGTGATTATGGTGTAGCGTGGTCACCTATCTGAGTGATTATGGTGTAGCGTGGTCACTTCTATCTGAGTGATTATGGTGTAGCGTGGTCACTTCTATCTGAGTGATTATGGTGTAGCGTGGTCACCTGTCTGAGTGATTATGGTGTAGCGTGGTCACTTCTATCTGAGTGATTATGGTGTAGCGTGGTCACCTATCTGAGTGATTATGGTGTAGCGTGGTCCCCTATCTGAGTGATTATGGTGTAGCGTGGTCACCTATCTGAGTGATTATGGTGTAGCGTGGTTAGTGATTATCGGGGTCACCTTGCTGCCCTCGTACAGGAAGGCGTCCCACAGCCTCAGCAGCAGGTCGCTGGGCAGACTCTCAACGAACACCACCAGGAACCAGTTGAAGCAGACCAGAGACACGTCCACGCTGTGAAGCTGCAGGTGAGCAGAGAGACGAGGGAGCTTCTCTGACAGGAAGTCCTTCAGGACGCGCTGATCCGCCTGCAGAATACACTCTTTAGACTCATGTGATGATGGGAGGGGGAACTGGTTTAGACTCAGAGGAACTGGTTTAGACTCAGAGGAACTGGTTTAGACTCAGAGGAACTGGTTTAGACTCAGAGTAACTGGTTTAGACTCAGACCTGTGAGGCCAGCAGCTGCTTGGTATAATAATCCGGAGGCAGGATGTTCTCCACCACGGCCACCAGACACCAGAATGCCTCCTCCTCACTCTGAAGGACCAGCAGGGCCAGACCCGCCAGCCTGAGGAACCACACCTTCATCATCATCATCATCATCATCATCATCATCATCATCATCACATGACACATTACATGACACGTCACATGACACGTTACAGGACACCTTACATGACACGTTACACGACACGTCACATGACACGCCACATGTCTCTCTGTTTCCACACAGTGTCACAGAGGGGCCTCACCTGTGTAAAAGTAGGAACATGTCTTTACCTGTTGAGGCCCTGGCAGTAGCCAATGGCAGGGTTCTGCCAGGAGAAGGCCAATAGGACACGGCGCAGCTGCTGGACGGCGGGGCTAGAGGGTGAGGAGAAGTGCTGATTGGTGGTCAGGGTGCGATGGAGGTCCAGCTGGATCTGTCTGGAGGCGGGACGAGGAGACGCATCGCTTTTCTCACAAAGCTGGAAACACAGCAGCTGGTTAATTAGTAACATGTAATATAATGTTACCTAACAACAGCTAGCTCCCAATAGCTAGCTCCCAACAGCTAGCTCGCAACAGCTAGCTCACAACAGCCAGCTGACAACAGCCAGCTGACAACAGCTAGTTAACAACCGCTAGCTGACAACCGCTAGCTACCAACAGCTAGCTCACAACAGCTAGTTGACAACCGCTAGCTGACAACCGCTAGCTACCAACAGCTAGCTGACAATTGCCAGCTAACAATCGCCAGCTACCAACAGCTAGCTCACAACCGCCAGCTGACAACCGCCAGCTAACAACCGCCAGCTAACAACCGCCAGCTAACAATCGCCAGCTAACAACATACATGCCAACCTTTCCAAATCCAAAAGAGGTAGGTTTGCGCGCGGCAAATGTGCACGCCCAAATTAGGTAATCAGAAGAAATGGAACCACAGTAATTACATGTATAAACCATGTATTTAACATATATTGCATCATTTTATGCATTTTTCAGAAAAAGTGGTAGTTTGGTAAACAGTGACATCAACGACATGTTTGGTCTGTAAAATGCCCGAAAAGTAAAAGAATGGGAGATAAATATCCCAAAGTCTCCACATTTTATTATATTTTTAATGTGTTTCTGGTCCTCTTTCAGTTGCATTGTTGGAGAAGCCTGTGACATAAGATTTTCAACGACATAATTACTCTGTAGCTATGTTAGTTTGACAATAAAGAACCTTGAACCTTGAACCTTGACAGTGTAGATCAGGGGTGCCCAACCTTTTTTGAACCGAGAGCTACTTTTAAAGTTGCCAGTCTGCCGAGATCTACCAGTCCAAATAGAGAGGCGCAGCCATTACCGACAGCCGACTACCAGGTAAATACACACTTCTACTTGTATAAAACTGACCTTTGTACCATTAATACATCATAAAATACTGCAGATCCTTTATCTCACCTCTTTCTAATCTACACACATACAAGTATTTAACTGAAGTTACACAACAGTGTTGTTGATACAGAGTTGGAGTTTATTCACACGTCACAAACTACAGTGGGTAATGTTTTCAAGAAACATTGAACAGTGCTGCCACATATGACACAGGAAAAAAAGAAAAGACTGAACCCTTTCTTTGTCATTATATAAAAATAGTGTTGCGACAAAAGTATAAATTAGTTTTACTAATAAGACAACTCAGATCTGAAGCTACACAGGAATCTGCTGCCAGAGTGCAATAAAAAAGACAAAATTAATAGAATCAAACCCCTTTTATTTTTTTTGCATTTTAGTAGAGTATAAAAATAAATGCCTTTAAAATAGGATGCAAGCAACACTAGTTTCTTAACCTGAATTGATAATAGACTATAATCAATTTAAACAGAACAGATCTTAAAGTTTGCATTCTTATACCATTTTGTACAATAATTATAATGAATAAGTTCAAACAAACTAAAACTTACAGCTGATTAATAACGGTATCTAACTTGAGTTTTTATTATATCAAAAACCTGTTGAAATGCTACTGTTATTTTTACTGTCCCCAAAAAGCGCGTCGGCAGCCTCCAGGAATGCTTCTTTCACAACTTCGCCGTCTTTGAAAGACTTCATGTGTTTTGCAAGAACGTGACTGACACGATAAGATGCTATGGTAGCAGCCTTGCTCTTGTTGTTGGGCCTGGTGAAAATTGACTGCTGTGCATTTAGCTGTCCTTTCAGGTCCCTCACCTTTTGGGAGCGTAGGACAGAATTAGGGAATTCCGTCTCGTAGCGTTTGTGCACTGTTTTGAAATGCCGCTCCTAAATTACCCTTCTTCGATAAAGCCACGCTCGCATTGCAGATGAGACAGATGGACTTTGAATTGGAATAGATACAAAAATAATCATCCTCCCCACTCGGAGTGAAAATTATATATTTTGGGCTCTTTTGCTTCTGCCATAATTGTGGTCTTGTGTGTGCGGACTGCACAGCAAACTAGTGCAATGGCCTACCAGCCACGCCCCGATAAATCACAAAGCTTTGATGCGTTCAAGTGCATTATTCTGGCACAGGAAGATTATGTTATAGGACATTAACGATAAAACAGAATATTGTCGTTCTATTTTTAGACACATCTCGCGATCGACTGAAACACAGAGGACTGTTTGTATGATGGGATCACAGACACGCTGCAAACGGTGTCCGCCAAAAGTCGAGTCCAGTGTCTATGTAGTGTCATTTTTATTTGTTATAGTTTGGGAAGATTGAAAATCGGTAGGGAGAGTCAGCTAAGTCGGTAGGCGGTAGAAACATGTCAAAAGCGGTAGACTACCGCCCAAATCGGTAGGGTTGGCAGGTATGTAACAATCGCCAGCTAACAATCGCCAGCTAACAACCGCAAGCTAACAATCGCCAGCTAACAACCGCCAAGTAACAACCGCCAGCTACTCAGGAGCTGTAAAGTCCAGGTGTGTCAGGTGTACTTCCTGTGTACTTCCTGTGTACTTCCTGTGTACCTGCTGGTAGCGCTGTGGGTGGCGCTCCCTGGCGCTCCTGGTTCTGGCCCGGACCAGCCAGGTCCAGACCTGCTGCCGGTACTCCCGTGGGACACCCCCCCGCAGCAGGCCTTTGAGCTCCGGGGAGGCACAGAGGTCATCGCTGGACCTGCCGGCGAGGAACTGGGCCCAGCGACCAATCAGAGGCCGGTCTGCCCCATCCTGAGGGAACACAACAACCATCAGAACCACAGAGAAACACAACAACCATCAGAACCTCAGACAAACACAACAACCATCAGAACCACAGACAAACACAACAACCATCAGAACCACAGACAAACACAACAACCATCAGAACCACTGAGAAACACAACAACCATCAGAACCACAGAGAAACACAACAACCATCAGAACCACTGACAAACACAACAACCATCAGAACCACCGAGAAACACAACAACCATCAGAACCACAGAGAAACACAACAACCATCAGAGCCACAGAGAAACACAACAACCATCAGAGCCACAGACAAACACAACAACCATCAGAACCACAGACAAACACAACAACCATCAGAACCACAGACAAACACAACAACCATCAGAACCACAGACAAACACAACAACCATCAGAACCACAGAGAAACACAACAACCATCAGAACCTCAGACAAACACAACAACCATCAGAACCACAGACAAACACAACAACCATCAGAACCACAGACAAACACAACAACCATCAGAACCACAGACAAACACAACAACCATCAGAACCACAGAGAAACACAACAACCATCAGAACCACAGACAAACACAACAACCATCAGAACCACAGACAAACACAACAACCATCAGAACCACAGACAAACACAACAACCATCAGAACCACAGAGAAACACAACAACCATCAGAACCTCAGACAAACACAACAACCATCAGAACCACAGACAAACACAACAACCATCAGAACCACAGACAAACACAACAACCATCAGAACCACAGACAAACACAACAACCATCAGAACCACAGAGAAACACAACAACCATCAGAACCACTGACAAACACAACAACCATCAGAACCACAGAGAAACACAACAACCATCAGAACCTCAGACAAACACAACAACCATCAGAACCACCGGAGCTCATCAGTCACATCATGTTCCCCACTCTGTATCATTAAACTGTATTAAATGATATATGTTTGATATTAATAGGACTGTATGACAGGTGTACAGGTGTACAGGTGTTACAGGTGTATAGGTGTACAGGTGTTACAGGTGTACAGGTGTTACAGGTGTTACAGGTGTATAGGTGTATAGGTGTACAGGTGTACAGGTGTTACAGGTGTACAGGTGTATAGGTGTACAGGTGTTACAGGTGTTACAGGTGTATAGGTGTACAGGTGTATAGGTGTACAGGTGTTACAGGTGTTACAGGTGTATAGGTGTACAGGTGTGCAGGGACCTGGTTCAGCAGGTTGTGGGAGCGGATCTCCAGCGCCTGGATCTTAGCGAGCAGTTTCATGTCCTCGACTTCATATTCAGGGACGATCTGGAAGCCGTACTCATCGTGATCTCTGAGGACAACACATCATCAGAACCTTCTGTTACCCCCCACAGGTGTTCCTGTTACCCCCCCAAAAAACTGAATGTACTCCTCCAACATGAGAGTAACATGCTAACAAAGGTATCCCAACTGTAGCTGTGTACATGACAGGATGTCTGATTACCTAGAAGAGCATCAGTACTGTTTTAGGCATATGATAGCTATGTGATTAACATGATGATTCAGCCTCTATGGAGATAGACATATGACAAGCATGCTCATTTCTGACGTGGAGCTAATCTGAACTAAACATTGAATACTGCTTTATATTCCTCCATCTTGTGACTGTGTAACTCCCTCTCTTGGATATCAGCATGTGAAGGACACTGTTCAGGAACTAGTTGATGCTCTGTATGTGATGACTTCTTCCATTCTGGAGAGGATCACACATACATGGATCCTGAGATTGAAGCTCCAGCCGGGGACCAGGGAGATTTTTCTAACAGCCCCCCCCCCCCCCCCCCCCCCCCCCCCCCTTGCACAGGTGTTACCTGGCCATGTCCAGCCTGATGACGCCCTTCAGCCCCCCCTTCAGAGCGTCCTCGATCATCTTCTGCACGGCCCCCTGCTGGGCCGGCTCCAGAGCTTTGTTCTCCTGCAGCTGCCTGAGGACGCCCAGGTATCGACTCTCCACCTGGCAGAGCCGCGCCTCCAGGTGGGAGCACTAAGACAATGGAATATATATCCTTTATTTACATTTAGGGGGACATTGAGGGGGTCATTGAATGACATTGAGGGGACATTGAATGACATTGAGGGGGACATTTAGAGGGACAGACCCACCTTCAGCATCAGGCTGGTCTCCTGCTGGGAGCTGGTCCTCCACAGGCGAGTCAGCTGGTAGAGTTCTGAGTTCAGGAAGCAGTTCTGAGTCCTATAGGCCTCCATGTCGTCCTGATCAGAGCCCAAATATAAATACTTCACAAAGTCTTATATTTTCATATTTTTTAAATATTATACTTCACTTCTTTTTCTTCTTTTATATTTTGCAATTTCAACCATCAGTGTTATGAGTCTCACCTTAAGGTTATGAGTCTCACCTTCAGGTAATGAGTCTCACCTTAAGGTTATGAGTCTCACCTTAAGGTTATGAGTCAGGTAATGAGTCTCACCTTCAGGTAATTAGTCTCACCTTCAGGTAATGAGTCTCACCTTCAGGTAATGAGTCTCACCTTCAGGTAATGAGTCTCACCTTCAGGTTCTCCACTTCCTGCTGCAGCTGTGTGAGGCTCTGGGAGTCTGAACGCCCGCCAGAGGACAAACAGGAAGTCAGCTGATCACACAGCTTCATGATCACCTGACAGGAAACATAATTATATTATATAAACATGTAGCAGGTGTCTCAGGTGTATCTCAGGTGAGTCTCAGGTGTCTCACCTCCTGCTTGGTGTTGTTCCTCTCCGTCAGTCTCCGGATGTCGTCCTGCAGCGCTGCCACCTCAGCGTCTCTGAGCTGCAGGCTGTTCCTGAGGTCCTCCTGCCCCCCCCTGGCCTCCTGCAGCTGTTCCTGCAGCTCCGCCGCATGCCGCTCTCTGTGCTGCAGCAGCTCCATGCGCTCCTGCTCCCCCGACGCAGCCAGGAACTCTGCACAGCTCCTCTTCTCCAGCTGAAAGGCCTCCAGGGCCCTGTGCAGGATCCACACCAGCTCCTGAGGAGGGGATAACATATTGATGAGGAACAACACAAAGCCGCAGCTGAAGCAAGGAAGAAAGCTGAGCTTAAAGCCAGTCTAAACACACTGCGGATAGAAAGTGCAGCTGCCATCGCTGAAGCTGAGGTTCTCGAAGAAGCTGCTGAGAGTGAATGTGGAGTTCCAGAACGTGCAAGCCTGAAGAGTACACTGAGCGTAAGTACAAAGGGAATCCAGTACCTGACTCTCACCAAGACTCAAAGCCACCACAGGAGACTGGGACTCTGGCACGATAGATTAAAACACAGAGACGAGACAAGAAGAGAGAAACAGCCGGAGTCATTTCAAATGGCGTGCTCAAAAAAGAGAAAGGTAGACAGCGAAAACAGAGCATTTAATGGCAAGTATCTCTTACTGGACCTCTTTGAAATGCAATTGAATACCCCTGCATTATAGCAGCAACAACAACAATAATAATAATAATAGCAATAATAATTGGGAGGGGGGCCTCGGCTGTTCCTATGTTCTCTGAGGGGAGGCTCACCTTCCCACACTTTGAAAACCCCTGGTCTAGTTCATCAGCTACAGCAGATTTAGCCAAGTATTTAATACGCTGTGAAATGGTTAGCTCCAGGCTATTGCAGTTTGATGCAATACCCTGGAAAGCATCATTCCTCAGTTCTACAGAGGGATTGAACCTGTCATCGAGAGAAGAGCTCGACCTCCTGTGTAAATGGCTTGGACCGAACCCCTCTGAACATGCAAAGAGAATCAGATCGGTTCACATCCACAATGCAGCAGCAGGTGTCAATATGCTATGGCAAAGGTTGGAAGATTGTTATGGGTCACCTGAAGCAATAGAAAAGGTGTCGTGCATCAACCAGTCACCAAGCCAAAGACTGTGACAAAAAGGTTCAGTGCAGAGAGTGCAACAGTGACCGTCACCAGACTGCACTACATCCAGGGCCGGCTTCATGGACAACAACCTCAATATATCAAGGCGGGGAGCAAGACGAATCTCTTCCTTTCGCTGTCACGTCAAAATGCACTGACATCTGTGGGACTGCAGTAAGGCCAAGATCATGCACCAAGATGTGTCTAGTCAGAGTGTATCCAGCAGGCCAGAGAGAGAGAGCTGTCAGAACATATGTCGTCCTAGATGAGCAGAGCAATAAGTCCTTGGCAAAAACAGAGTTTTTTGAACTCTTTGATGTTAATGATGACACAGCATCCTACTCCCTGAAGACATGTTCAGGAGTCTTTGAAACCTCAGGGCGGCGAGCAAACAACTACATCATGGAGTCATTGGATGGCAAATCGTTAGGGGTCCTGCCAACTCCATGCCCTGTTCCGTTGGGGGTCCTGCCAACTCCATGTCCTGTTCTGTTGGGGATCCTGCCAACTCCATGCCCTGTTCCGTTAGGGGTCCTGCCAACTCCATGCCCTGTTCCGTTAGGGGTCCTGCCAACTCCATGCCCTGTTCCGTTAGGGGTCCTGCCAACTCCATGCCCTGTTCCGTTAGGGGTCCTGCCAACTCCATGCCCTGTTCCGTTGGGGGTCCTGCCAACTCCATGCCCTGTTCCGTTGGGGGTCCTGCCAACTCCATGCCCTGTTCCGTTGGGGGTCCTGCCAACTCCATGCCCTGTTCCGTTGGGGGTCCTGCCAACTCCATGCCCTGTTCCGTTAGGGCTCCTGCCAACTCCATGCCCTGTTCCATTAGGGGTCCTGCCAACTCCATGCCCTGTTCCGTTGGGGGTCCTGCCAACTCCATGCCCTGTTCCGTTAGGGGTCCTGCCAACTCCATGCCCTGTTCCGTTAGGGGTCCTGCCAACTCCATGCCCTGTTCCGTTAGGGGTCCTGCCAACTCCATGCCCTGTTCCGTTGGGGGTCCTGCCAACTCCATGTCCTGTTCCGTTGGGGGTCCTGCCAACTCCATGTCCTGTTCCGTTGGGGGTCCTGCCAACTCCATGTCATGTTCCGTTGGGGGTCCTGCCAACTCCATGTCCTGTTCCATTGGGGGTCCCGCCAACTCCATGTCCTGTTCCGTTGGGGATCCCGCCGTCTCCGATCCCAGAACTCCTGCTCCGGCGATCCAGCTGACTCCCATTGTCCCACATTGGTGAATACCTTGCAACACTACCACCAAGAAGGAAATGGCAAGCAGGTGAGCCTAACTTGCAAATCTGAAGGACAGCCAGGTCAAAAGGAATGAATGGCCAACTGGACTTATAGTAAATACCTTTCCTGGTCAAGACAACAGGGTCCGTAAAGTGGAAGTACGGGTGATCAAAGAAGGTTCTCCCAGGGTGTATTCAAGACCAGCCCCAGGGTTTTGTGTTTTGCACTGTGTGTCCATAAATGCTTGCCGTAGTCGCCTGTTTCTGGCTGTCTATGGAGCACATGGGTTGTTTCCTGTCAATCGGTTCTTTGCTCAAATCCTAGGGTCTTTATGTCTTTTTACAAAATGGAAATGAAAAAATGGAAATGAATGAAAATGATCAGTAAACATCTGAAACTGACCTGCTGTCTCCTGGGTGTTTATTGCTGACCTAGTTAAACTATCTGCCAAGCCTGCAATCTCTAAATATTCTTGCGAGGACAGAATACTTCCTGTATTCAGTTTTTCTTCAGTATCAAAGTATTTTTTCTTTAATATCTGTTTTGTTTTATTCTTTATATTTTATCTGCTCACCTTCTGCGCTATGACCTCCTCCTGCAGCGCCTCTTTCTCCTGTAGGAGGCGCTGTGACGAGCTGCTCCTCTTGGTCCTCCTGCTCCAGCTGTCCAACAGAGAGGACGAATCCCTGCGCTCCGCCCGGGTCACCTGACCTGCCTCAGCCAATGAGAGGGGAGGGGGCAGGGCCAGAGGCACAGTGGGAGTCATGGGGGCTGCAGGGTGGGAAGTCGAGGTGGGGGGGGGGGGGTTTAAACAAAGACAAGTCATACTGGTGTCAGTGATGTAGTATACTGGTGTCAGTGATGTAGTGATGTAGTATACTGGTGTCAGTGATGTAGTGATGTAGTATACTGGTGTCAGTGATGTAGTATACTGGTGTCAGTGATGTAGTGATGTAGTATACTGGTGTCAGTGATGTAGTATACTGGTGTCAGCGATGTAGTATACTGGTGTCAGTGAAGTAGTGATGTAGTATACTGGTATCAGTGATGTAGTGATGTAGTATACTGGTGTCAGTGATGTAGTATGCTGGTGTCAGTGATGTAGTGATGTAGTATACTGGTGTCAGTGATGTAGTATACTGGTGTCAGTGATGTAGTGATGTAGTATACTGGTGTCAGTGATGTAGTGATGTAGTATACTGGTATCAGTGATGTAGTGATGTAGTATACTGGTGTCAATGATGTAGTATACTGGTGTCAGTTAAGTAGTGATGTAGTATACTGGTATCAGTGATGTAGTGATGTAGTATACTGGTATCAGTGATGTAGTGATGTAGTATACTGGTGTCAGTGATGTAGTATACTGGTGTCAGTGATATAGTATACTGGTGTCAGTGATGTAGTGATGTAGTATACTGGTGTCAGTGATGTAGTGATGTAGTATACTGGTATCAGTGATGTAGTATACTGGTGATGTAGTATACTGGTGATGTAGTATACTGGTGTCAGTGATGTAGTATACTGGTGTCAGTGATGTAGTATACTGGTATCAGTGATGTAGTATACTGGTGTCAGTGATGTAGTATAATCAGGGGTGCACATAACTGGTACGCAGGTACGCATGCGCGGCAACAATCTGAAATGCGTACTGTCACTTGTGACGTACTTGTGAAGCTTTTCCAGAAGGCGGTTAGATCACCGGACGACAGAGTCGGTCTCCGTGTGCGCAGACAGGGCTGCTGTTAACGTCGGTCTGTACAGCAGCACTGCGCTAAAACAGCTGATCACAATGTTCACACGCTCTGTGGTCACGAAGCTCTGTACTCCACTACCCCCCCGTTGACATTCGCGATACAGAGGGCTTCATGGGAACTTTGAGGGGAGCCAGAAGTTGGAGTACCAAACACTGACTCCAGGTACTCATCCGAGTAAGTTGTGTGCACCCCTGAGTATAATGGTGTTTTTTTACCTGTGGTGCTGTTGGGGTCTGCGGGGGTCGGGGGGGTCCAGGGTGGAGCAGCTTCTACATGAAACACACTCTGACTGCACTCCTGAGACGACCTCTTACGAAGGCTGTGGACTGAGTTTCTGCAAACACACACACGTGTTATTTTATGAAGTAATAATTAGCTGTCGTAGTGCAGTACCACTCTCCGCCTGAACTGTAACTGAAGTGCCGGTGGGGGCGCTGTTTCACATACATCACCACATCAACAGATTTAAACCTTTATAAGATAATAAGATAAGATGTACTTAATTGATCTCAAATTTGAAAAAGGTTTGTTGCAGCAGCATAAAAAAACAAGACATTGCACATATTAGAAAATTAAAAGAGTAGAAATAAAGAATTCTAAAATATAAACATCTGAAAATAGAAATAAACTGACATTAGAAAATATACAGAAGACTGTGAAAATAAAAATATATATACAGGCTATGGTTTAAACATGTATGTGTGTGTGTGTGTGTGGTTATAGAGTGTGTGTGCAGGTTATCAGCAGAGCCCTGAGGCCCCGGGGCTGATGGGAAACGTAGTCTCTCACACTGACTCACTGGAGGTGGATGAGCGGGTGTTTGAGCGACATGTTGGTGAGCGGTGGCCATGTTGCCTCCACCCCCCACCCCGGGCTCTGCACCGGCAGGAAGTGGTCTGCAGGAACAGGAAATAGGAAATAGCATCATCACATATTTGTATATTGTTTCCTGAGTGACATCACATCCTGATTACAGAAACTTTGGTTGCAGTGGAATTGTCCAAAAATCAGCTCCTCTGTGTGAAAGGGGTTAACCTGTTAAGCCCGGTGCCCCCGCACAACAGAACAATATTCACGAAACTGTGTCTCAGGGCTTCTTAACATTAAACAACCTATGAATGTGTCATACCGACTTAAAGGGAAGAAACTCAGCTAACTGACGATATTAACAATTTGTACCGAAACAAAACACAAGTCTAATTAGCACTAAGCGAAAGAGTGCTAACACACTTAGCACATAACTCACGGTATAAATATTTTATACTTCATCGGATCTGCACAAATTAGATATCAGATTAAAGCTGAGATTCCACAGATTCCAATGGTATACATATCATCACCGTCTCAGTGCAGTGAAGGCAAGCAAAGACAACACACAACTTCACTTTACTCTGTGTGTTTTCTTCAGGATGTGTGGACACTGCTCCAATGAGTGACCACTTCTACTGCAGAACAAACACAAATGTAGGGATTTGGTGGTTGATGCAGGTATCTTCAGTCCATTTAGGGTTTGAAAGTTGTAGATGGTTTATCATCTTGGATGTTTCCAAACAGAGGATCTGACAGTATCTTCACTTGCCTCTCTATGAAGTCGACAAGGTTAGGAAATGTAGCTCGATGCCCACGCTCTTCCTGTAGCTGACATGCTCTATTCCTCCACCTGTCTCTGAGTTTGTAGGGTAGTTTCTGAAGTATTTTTTTTTATGTTTGAAACAACATTCATTTCATCCATATAGGTGAGATGTTCCATTGCATTGCAACAACCTCTTAGGAACAGAGAGAAGGCTTGCAGTGCTTTCACATCTTCGGTTTTGATCATTGTCCAGGTAAATGCCTTGTTCATGTATGCAGTGGCAATCTTGTGTTCATTACCAAAGTGTTCTTTAAGCAGAGGTTTTGCCCTTTGATAACCTTGAGCTGGAGGCAGATGTTGGCAGCTGCGCACTAGGTCCTTTGGTTGTCCTCTGGTGTATTGCTCTAGGTAATGCAGGCAGTCACTTTCATCATCAGCCTTTCTTTCTACTCCTCTTTCAAATGCACGGATGAAGGCTTCAAACTGCAATGGGTCACCGTCATTAACAGGAATGTCTCTTGGTGGTAAAGTAGAAGTGAGATGTTGTTGAGCCAGCATAGCAGTGATGTCATTTTGCCTCTGGATTAAGTTATAGATGTCACCTTGATTACCATTGTTGATTACAGGTGGTGTGATGTCAACATGTCCCTGCACATGTGTCTGTATATTTTGTCTGGGAATAGAGGTTTGGGCTTGGTGAGGTAAGAATTCAGTTGCATGTAGATTAAATCTTGCTGTAGGGTTTCTGAAGTAAGAGCTCATCCCATCTGATGCTCTAGAGGTGTGTCTTGATCCCATGCTGAGCACATTTATCCTGGCATTTGCTGCTGCCAGTTCAGTTTGTAAATCCAATTGTTCCTTCTTTCGTTTCACCTGTTCCCCTTGTTGTTTCAACTGTTCCCCTTGAACGTCAAGTTCATGTTGAATGTTCAGTGCTGCCGCCCTTTGTGAGCATCTGCCGGGCTGGTGGAATCGGTATGCTCTCTTCCTTCTGTGTCCTCGTCATTTCCTGTCACCTGTGACCCCTTTATACACCCGGTGCAGCTAAACACCGCCACCAAGTGTTCAAAATAATATTGCACTATACATATAAATAAGGTAAACTGAGACACCAACAACACCCATAAAATGGCTCCTACATCACTCATTCACCAATGGGTAATGCATAACCCTTCACTATAAGTAATGTTTTTTTTTTAGACGGACACTATAATTTACATTTTTTTACTATGTTCAATCTGAATTTACTTTAAAATAAAAAACATCTATATTGATTCTGACTCTTCTACATCCAACTCACAGGTTTATCATTGCTTTGAGAAAAAAGATTATTAATTTAACCCTTTTAGAAGGGAAGATATGGTCATTTGTTCTGGGAATGTCATTTTCGAGCCTGAGGCCTGAAAAACAGGCTCAGGGCTTAACAAGTTAAAGAGATTTAATATATTTGTCAATCAGCTCCTAACGTCTAACCCTTGACCTCTGTGTGAAACGTCACAGGGTTAAGGAATAGTGGATAGGAGAATTCAAAAGGACTTAGGAGAAGAGACTGCTTTTAGAATCGACTGCACTTTCACTATCCGACGTGTTTATGATGTCATGAATGTGCGTCTGCTGCTGTGGGGAAACTATGGAAACTACAGTTTTCTATACAGCGGACTACAACATGGATGTTTAATAAGAACGAGGGACTACTGTAAACTCATCTAGAGACTCTGCACCGTGCTCTGATGCTGTTGTTTTATGCTTTATGAACGGGGACAACAGAGAAACATATTCTTCATGACCAAAGTTGGAATTGAAATAAAAAAGGAAAGTGAAACTTATGCTCGTCATCCTCTCCCTCCGGTCCTCATTAATACAAATGATCCCAATACGTATGATTGTATGAAAAGATCTTAAAATCAATACAAATGTATTTATTATAAACGTTAGTCCTTAACATCTATCACTGTGTATATCACCATTCAAACATCTTTTAAAAGTTGAACAAACCCCACACAGCTCAGTAAAGACTGTGAAATGTTGACTTTATTTGATCATTTCAGTAAAAACTAACGTTCATATTTCTCTTTTTGAATTATAATACTGATGAACGTTCAAAACAAAGCACTTTGGCAACTTACCACATACGTTTTAAAATGCTTAAAGGTCCCATGTCAAGGCCATTTCCACTGATCATAATTCCATTGTTGAGGTCTACTAGAATAGATTTATATTGTGCAATTTTCCAAACTCACATTGGTTTCTCATACAGCATCTCTGTATAGTATGTGTATTCACTCTCTGTCCTAAACGGCTTGTTGGAGCTCCTGCCCCCCCCCCCTCCCTGTGAGCCCAGTGTGCTCCGATTGGTCAGCTCGGCCACTCTGTTCTGTTTAGTCAACCACCAGAGAGGCTCCGCCCATGTCTAACACAGTGCTTTTGTCGGCTCTGAGCGGAACATCAGTTTTACAATGGCGTCGGTACAGCCGTATATGTTATAAGCTAACTAACCGAACTGTACCTACAACTGTTGTTATTTAGGTGCACTTGTGGAAACTGCGCCATGATGCCTACCGAAGTGGAAAACGTCTGTTGCAAAGAAATTAGAAAGGTAGCCTAGCTGACAGTTACAACATTATGTAGCCAGCTAGCTGAAAACACCAGCAGTAGCACACAACATTATATGATATACACCATACATACCCACACCCTGCAGAACCTCCATAACATGTACAGATTCGATTATAGACCTTTGAGGCGTAGAACGGAAGAAGAGTACGTTATTTTTACCTGTAATAAACTACTACTGTGTTTGATGAAAAATCAAATCATGGTTTGCTATATATGAATGATATGTTATAGGAGAAAATAATTCAGGGAAGAAAGGATACTAAGTATTTCCATCAAACTTTATTTTTAGAAATGTACAAACGCGTTAACGCAAAAAAAAATTAACGCCACTAATTATTTTAACGCGATTAACGCATGTGTATTTTTTGTCCTCGGCCGCCCCGTAGTTTCAGAGCGCATCGAGTTTAAAATACCATCTACAAGCTGATGCTGACAGCCCCGCTCCTGCCGCCCGCTTGTGGCAGACCACACTTCCACACTCACCGGCAGGCCCGGACTGGCCATCGGGAGGACCGGGAGGGTGTGTGTATTTGAGGCGCACCTCGTGAGCGAGGCACACCTTACGTGTTGTTGTTGTTGTTAGCATCTGGTGCTAGCTAGCTGCGCTAACGGATATAAAGAGCTGTTTCAATGAAAACAGAGGAGCGACATTTTGCCGACAACTGCGCCGAGCACTTGACTTTATGCAGGTAGCCAGACAGTGGGACATTGTACGAAAAGTCAGCACACTCAGCACGGATAGTGCGCGCAACATGATTGCAGCGTCCAGGCAGCTCCCGTTCGAGCATATATGCCTTGAGCTGCACATAGCTCCAACGATCCCATCACAGTGTCTCCACATTCTCTCACACACACACACACACACACACACACACACACACACACACACACACACACACACACACACACACACACACACACACACACACACACACACACACACACACACACACACACACACACACACACACACACACACACACACACACACACACACACACACACACACACACACTTTGTATTATTGTATGAGAGAGGTTCTAGGTTGAATTGAGGCGAATATTTGTAATGTTCAGAGGTTGTTGTGTTTAATATTCATGAGAATATTTGTCATTGTTCAAATGATAATAAACAAACATATAAAGCATATTTGTCCACTCATATGTTGATATGAGTATTAAAAACTTGAAAAATATCCCTCTAAGGTACATTTAGAACAGATAATTGTGATTAACTATGGACAATCATGCGATTAATCGCGATTAAATATTTGAATCGACTGACAGCCCTAGTAAATATACATATATACACTGTATATCATCCATTCCTCCCCTTATAGGCGTTTTCGGCATCTTGCCTATCGCAGCTTTGTAAACTGGTGCTGGGGCTTTTTAGAACGAGGCATCAGAGTGGTCATCCCGTCATGTGTTGTCCGCCGGATACGCCAGGAGTTTCCTGATCTGGCTGGACGAAATCAAATGCAAATCACAAAATATTAGAGAAACTTAGTTGTTTTAGGTTTGTTAGCTTGCCAGCTAGATTAATATGCTAACCTACGTTTGCTCGTTGTTCAGTGTAATATGCCAACCTACTATGAACAACAGCTAGTGGTTCATATTAGGCTAGCAAGAACATGTTTACAATTGCAATCTTATACGGGTAGTCTGCTACGTTCGGTCATTCATTGTAGCTGGCATAAAAACAATGTTTTCCCTAGCATGTCTAGCTCTTGGTAGCCTTCTTGTTTAGCTCGGTAGCATACACGCTAGGAACGCCAACTATAATGTAATTAAGTTTCGCGACTGACCGTATGGTAAATCACCCGGAGAATACTGTCTATGAGTATTTTGTGTGTGAATGCAGACATTCTCCTGCTATGAGATACATGTAAGGCCATCTGCTGACATTGGAGTTGATGTATGGAAACGCTAGCAACTTAGTTAGCCCAGTTAGCACTGTGTCAATGGCTTAGCAGCCCCAAAAACGTTTACCCATTTAAACAGTCGTGGTAGATACCTTGTTTGTTTTAAACATCATAAATACACAAACAACAATGCGTACTTACAGGTTGTGTACCCGAATCTCCCGCTGGTCCAAACAAAGTAGGAACAGCATCGTCCTTCAGTGTCCTACGCTGTGCATATCCGGCATGAATCGCTGCAATGTTTGCGAAGCTTTGGTCCGTGAAATGCCGCGCACACAGTACAATACCGGCTCGAACATCTGAAGGAACAGTGTTAACAAGAAATGTCAACCACTGACTTCGTCGTGGTTCTGCCCTCGGTAAGGCATGCATTGAAGATTTCCCCTCACAAGACAGGAAACAGACCCTCGTTGGCATGACTGGACACAGTTTTGAACTGAACCTGAGCGTCCAACAGTATATATGTTCGGCTGGCAGAGGGTGCGGCCATAGCTCTGGGTTACTGGGCTACTGTACTACTGGGTACTGGGTATCCCTACGTCACGATACCCAGGAAGAAAACATGAAATCTCCAACGAGGCGTTTTGGGGAGGTCTTTTCTGTGTTAGAGTTTTACTCGCTACAGGGTGTACTTTCAGGGTTTTTGACTCTGCAGACCATTTACATGCATACAAACCTTCATAACACACAAGGGGACGGGTAATAACCAGAAAAGCATGACATGGGACCTTTAATAGGAAAGGAAAGGAAGTTATAAAGGGAGGTCCAGTGTTTCCTAAAGGAGGTTATAAAGGAAGTTTGAAACCTCCTTTCCTATCATCTAGAGAACCAGCTCTTATCATGGCTGCCACTGAGGGACTTCCGGGTCATTTCACTCAAACTTTCACAGAAACTGACTATTCGACCGCAACCCAGATTTGTACAGTGACAGAAACACTGACCTGCAGTGTGGTTGGCTGAGGGCGGGTCACATGACGTCTGTCTGTGCTGCCAACGCCTCCCCTGAAGCTGCTGCAGCCAATAGAGCATCAGCTGCTGGGACCCTGCCTGGGGGGGGATATAGATATATACATAGATATTTAAATATAAATATATATTAATATCAATAAGTATACATATAAGAATATAGATGAATATAATATGTATATGTTGTTAGTGGACCTTGAGGATGAAGGTGCGCTCGGGGGTCTGGATGTGGAAGGTGCCCCCCCCTTGCAGAGGGTAGCTGAAGGAGGCCCTGCAGAGCGGGACCCGGCCCAGCGGGGCCACGTCCTGGGGGGTCCGGTAGTAGAACAGCTGATTCCTGCTCTCCTCGTACCTGAACCAGCGCTGCTTCCAGGCCCTCAGGGGCCCCCCCTGCTTCTGAAGGAACCCACACAGCCTGGGGGGGGCAGGAGGGGCCCCGTTAGATAGGGAGGCTAGATCCTGAAGGTCCTGGGGGTTCTGGTGGTCCTGGTGGTTCTGGTGGTTTTGAAGGTCCTGAAGGTCCTGAGGGTTCTGGTGGTCCTGGTGTTCCTGAAGGTCCTGAGGGTTCTGGTGGTCCTGGTGGTTCTGGTGGTTCTGAAGGTCCTGAAGGTCCTGGTGGTTCTGGGGGTACTCAGGGGTTGTTGAAGGGGGTTTCTCTGGAGATGGATCCTGAGGGTTCTGGTGGTTCTGGTTGTCCTGGTGGTTCTGGTGGTCCTCAGGAGTTGTTGGAGGGGGTTTCTCTGGAGCTGGATACTGCTGGTCCAGGTGGTCCTCGTGATCCTGCCGGTCTCCGGACTCAGAGATCTGGAGCGTGAAGGTTGAAATGTAAACAGGTGAGTCCTCTTTAGGGTTCTGGTCTGCTGGGCCAAGTTCCTGAGAGTCAGCTGGTTTATTGTCATCTGGTTTCATTATATCTGCGCTAAGTGGATCTGGTTCTAGTGGGTCTTCAGCAGGAAGTGGATCTGGTTGTAGTGGGTCTTCAGCAGGAAGAGGATCTGGTTCTAGTGGGTCTTCAGCAGGAAGTGGATCTGGTTCTAGTGGGTCTTCAGCAGGAAGTGGATCTGGTTCTATCAGGTATTTCGGGTTGTGTTGATCAGTTGGAACTGGATCAGTTGGAGGAGGATCTGGATCAGTTGGATCTGGATCAGTTGGAGGAGGATCTGGATCAGTTGGATCTGGATCAGTTGGCTCTGGTTCGTCTGGGTGGTTCTGATCCTGGTCTGCACAGGGAACCCCCTCCATGGCTCCTAAAGAGAAGGACTCTGCAGTACAAACTGTTCTGGGTCAGGGTCTGGTTCCTCTCTAGAGATTAGAAGGAAATTATTCATAATGACAGGAAGTGGCTCAGGGTATAACCCCCCCCCCGACAGATGTTTGCCTCTGAAGACCCCATGTGGTGGTCTGGGTCAGATCTGGTCTACTGGTTCTGAACAGCTGATCAGAACCTTCATCTCTTTACTCTATAGCTTCTATAATATACTACTACACTCTGATTCAAAGCACAAACACATTAGGTATGTCCCCACACACACGCACACACACACACACACACAGCATGTCCTCACCTGTTCAGAAACACACCTGAGTTTACCTAGAGGGGCGTGGCCTCGCAGTGGATCCTGATAAACAGCAAAGAAAGAAAGTAAAGTAAACTCACTGTTGTTGTTGTTGTTGTTGTTGTTGTTGTTCCTCTTCTTCTTCTTCTTCTTCTTCTGATTCTTCTCCCTCTCTCTCTGTACCCTCCTCTCTCTCTTCCTGCTCCTCCAGCCGATTTCTCTCCTTTTTCTCCAGCAGATCTCTGAGACGTCGCGAGAACACACGTGACTTCAGGGCCGATTTCAAAATAAGAGCGTTGTTAAAAATAAAAAAGTTCTCCCTCCTTGCATTTCAAAATAAAAGCTCACAGTCCCAGGAAAACAAACAAACTTCTCTATTAAACAACAAGCAACAAGAAGCAGCCCTTCACAATAAGAGCCTCTGAGTGAGAGAATGATGCACCACCTTTTATTTAATTAACCTTCAAGAGTGCTCTGATAATCACATACTCTTTATATCAGTATGTAGTGTCTCTACTTTAAAGAGTCCTCTCCTGCTGATGGTCAGGGATATATCAGTATGTAGTGTCTCTACTTTAAAGAGTCCTCTCCTGCTGATGTTCAGGTGTATATCAGTATGTAGTGTCTCTACTTTAAAGAGTCCTCTCCTGCTGATGTTAAGGTGTATATCAGTATGTAGTGTCTCTACTTTAAAGAGTCCTCTCCTGCTGATGTTCAGGTGTATATCAGTATGTAGTGTCTCTACTTTAAAGAGTCCTCTCCTGCTGATGTTCAGGTGTATATGATATCAGTAGGCTATGTAGTGTCTCTACTTTAAAGAGTCCTCTCCTGCTGATGTTCAGGTGTATATCAGTATGTAGTGTCTCTACTTTAAAGAGTCCCCCCTGGTGTAAACCATAGACTGTATATAAATGGACGTAGTGTCCGTGACGTCACCCATAGAATTCTGCAGAGTTGCCGAGAAGCCCTTAGTAGGCGGAGTCGGCCACTAACGGCTCGACAGTGACGTCAGAGTTCCACTCCCGCCTGCTCCAGCCTGCTCCAAATAAGGGCAAAGAGGCGGAGCCGAGGCGGGACCTGCTGCCACCGGGCTGGAAGTTCCAGAGCTAGCTGAAGCTACCAAGCTAAGCTAACATGCTCCCCATCTGAGAAGGGTCTAGCTGCGGCCGCGGCCACTACACGACACTACACGACACGCCCACTACACGACACGCCCACCTGACACGACACTACGGTGGCTGAGAGACATTACCATACATGGCAGATTAAAAGCGAATTGACGACACTGACGCTGATGCAAGGATATTTAAAGAGACATGAGGTTCAGAGAACAGACAAACAATATGGCGCACCGAGTACAGGTAATTAACGTATTGTGGTTTTAGATATAATTACATACTATTTAGGTTCTCGTTTGTTTGTCGATGTGGCTGTTTAGCGCAGTGTAATTGTGTTTATTTAGCTAATTTGTATTTTAAATATTAAATGTAAAGGAATGGAATACATATAAATATATATATATCTTAGCTTGACATGCTCGACGTTCAGTTAGCATATATGCTAACTGAACATGCTCGTTCAGTTAGCATGTCAAGCTAAGAGCTAAGATATATGTATATATTTTAGCTTGACAGATGGAACAATGCATGTACTCGCATTTTTACAAGAATCTGATTTTAAATATTCATTGAAGGTGTCTTTCACATTTGAATGTTTTAAAAAAAAAACATGTATTAGCTGCTATACTGACATGCACATATGTATAATTATATTATTATTTTAAGTGTGGTTTAAAGTTAAATGATATATAGTTATTGGGTAGAGCCAAGTAACCCAGGTGGATGCAATCAGGCCTCTGTTTTTAGATGGGGTTTGTGGCCATGCTGTCGGCCTGACATTTAAACCATAGACCTATATATAAAGATTTAAACTAGCTGAAGGGCTTTCTGTTCGAACCACAGTGACATCTAGAGGTTGTTTTGTGCATAACATGTCAACCAAAAAGGTAGAGCTGGCTGAATCAGATGGAGTTAAACTTTTTTTTTTTTCAACAAGATATCAAGACACAAAATGTGCTCTACCAAATGGTGGCGCTGGCAGTTAAAGGGTTACCTTCTGAAAGTGAGGAAGTATGACCAGCTTTGTCCCATAGGATTATACAGGCCAGTCCATTGCTGCTTGTTTAAGGAGTTAACTATTTCCAATATTAAAGTCACTGAAATTGTATTCTATTTTATTCACCTATAGACAAACAACACAACACTCCGTGATGGAGCACGCCCAGAGCTCAACAAATTGGACTCGGACACCTTCCAGTGTCCATTTTGTGAAAGGACCGGGTCATACCCTGGTCTGATGGCTCATTTGCAGAGCCACCAGAGGGCACTTGTGAAATATGGAGGTAAGTACATCTATAATTCTATATGATCATTGTATACTTCATCACATTACATTACATGTTACTTGTTAGATGTGTTTAATGCCTCACACATTATGGATACATGTGTTATTTCTGTGCCCCAGGACATCCTTGGTGTAAATTCATTTTGAATTATAAATTGAACATTAAAAATTAGATTTATATTCAGGTTATGAAGTGTTAATAATGCTGGAAAAATATCCTTATTTGGGGTAGGCACAATATGAGCATAATCACACATTCAATCTGCAAAAAATCAGTTTATAGGCAAAAATATTATTGTTGGTGACATGATTATTTATTGCTCTCGCACAAACACCTTGTTTCAAATTGCATATTTACAAGAAATTCATGTTGGTTTGTTTCTAGAATCCTCTAAACCACTTTCTGTCTCTTTTTTTTAGGTTATAATGTTTATAAATGCCATCTCAAATGAGTGGCCAGCAGCCATTATCACTGTGGCTTTTGCCCAAGAATCATTGGGAGAAAGGAGATGTTTATTAGTCACTTTAAAAACTGCTGCACTGAACATCCAACTACGTTGGCGGCGGCCCCAGCAACCACAACGACTCCTCCAGTGATGGCCCCGACGGCCGCTCCAGTGATGGCCCCGACGGCCGCTCCAGTGATGGCCCCGACGGCCGCTCCAGTGATGGCCCAGACGGCCGCTCCAGTGATGGCTCCGACGGCCGCTCCAGTGATGGCTCCGGCTGCTGCAGCAACATGGCACAATATTTCCACAGCCCCCAACATTTTGATGTCAAAGCGCAAAACCACAACATGTTGTTTTTGTAGCCTACAACTAAAAAGGAACATTTTTCACATGATGTTCTGTTCAATAAATGTTCATTGAGGAAAACGGTATCAGTGTCTTATTGTATATTCATCACAGTGAATGCAGTGCATGCTGAACTTGCCGGACCATATACTGTAGTTGAAAGTACACAATGAAACACTGGCTTGCTTGTATCAAATCAATACAATTCCCACATGCCCTACCCCGGAACCTGCGGTCTTCAGACTCTGGCCCCCCGCACCAACCTGCGATCCTTCGGGGACAGAGCCTTCAGTATGGCAGCCCCCACTCTCTGGAACGCTCTCCCTGCGGAGATCTGCAACATCCCCACGCTTGACGCCTTCAAAAGGGCCCTCAAGTCTGCCAAGGTCTTTGGCCCCAAATCTATTTGTGTTGTCTGTCTAACTGTTCGTCTAACTGCCTTTTGTTATGTTTGTTTCTACTCCTGTTCTTTTTAAAGCGACCTTGGGTCTCATGAAAGGCGCTATATAAATCCAAGTTATTATTAATACATCATTGGAACGGTAAGAATCTCAGCTACAACACTGACTAAAGCCTTCCCATCTCCAGTATGCCTACATGACAAGCATTTTTATAATATACAGTAAACATATCTTTGACTTATTAGAGAAGAGACAATCATCAAGCCAGATACCAAGGTATTTACAACAGGCAACCACTTCAATTACTTTTCCTTTATGTTATTGTTATTTGGTTTTTATTAGTGCTTTTGTCGTTTTGAAGGAAATTAAAATACTGTATTGAGTTGGTTTCTTCTGTTTTGGAAGCCTTGTATATCTTTTTGGTCTTGTTAGAAATACCCCATGGTAAAACAGTGTTCTAGCAGCAGTTAAAGAAGCTTAGTTTGCTGTCTTAGACTGCCAGTTGTATTAAGATGGTTTGTTCACAATTTACACATAAAACCTAAATGTTCATCTGTTTATTGTTCTTCCTTTATATTCAAAGCATGTTGATTGTCTATTGGCTATATTTTGACATTATGTTAATTTGATCATACTTGCCATACATTTATTTTAATTTATGCGATTCCTTCAAAGGTTTTGTAATAGACCCCAAGTACTTTTAATTTATAAAGTAATAATAATACATGTGATAATACACTCATTAGTGGCCTGACTGGCCCTCCTAATTTGTTCCTTAATGACCCCATGATGTGATAATGTATATCTTAAAACCTTTAACAACTATATTTAGATGTTCACAAATATCTACATTTATGTATAAAATACATGTGTAGCAGTTAGACAAACATAATCAATAGATCATCTCATTAATACCTATTTTATATATTAAAAAAAAGTTGACTAAACCACCGTTTGTTGACAAAATGATTTGGGTTGAAAGTTATACTGTTGTGTCTCAAACGGATAGACTAGGTTATTAATTTATTTGCCTAATAGTTGCTTAAAATGCTACAATAACATTTGCAATTCGTTTTTAATCTGCCATGTACGATCTCAATAATAATAAGTGTCGTCAATTCGCTTTTAATCTGCCATGTACGGTAATGTCTCTCAGCCACCGTAGTGTCGTGTCAGGTGGGCGTGTCGTGTAGTGTCGTGTACTGTCCGTGGCCGCAGCTAGACCATATTGCCCCATCTGCACACTGCCGTCGCATTTTACGTTTCTAAGGTAAGCGGACATGAGACTATTCAGCAAAACTATAAATAATAATCTAAATTGAGTTTTTAGCATAATACTTCAGAATCTTAAAATCCCTTAACGTTTGTATGCAATTGTGCTAAATTAAACACTGGAATCAATCAAATATTAATATGTTTGCATGACATTAGTTATTTATATTTTGCCATCACTTAATTATACGTTTAATACATTTAAGTTAAGCTAAGGTACATGTGATGATAGCTAGTTAGTGCTCTTACCTGTGAGGCCTCCTCCAAACAG